GTGATTGTTGCGGGCAAAAATCCTTGATTATGCGGCACGTTTTCTTAAAAAATGCGATGAAATATGCGGCATATTTATGCAATTTTATGCGATGAATTCGCAAAAATTGCGGGAACTTGCAAAAATTGCGTTTTTCTGGAGGGACTGTATCACAACACACTGAATCGTAACCGCTGTATCGTGATATCGCATCGCCGGATTCTCAGCCCTAAAGATACGTTGACGCTGAATGCTGTAGGAGAGTTTTACCTGCTATAATGCCGTCCATTTGCTCCAGGGCAGCTGCCAACATGTCGCTGGCATCGGACATCATTTTCAGTCACTGATAAACCTGGAAGGAATGAAACCATTAAAAAAAAGTTTACAGGGAAGTGTTTATTTTGGCTCACATTGAATTGATAATACACTGAAAATGTTTACTTGCGTTGTGCACGAAGCAGTAACACGTGAAAAGAAAACTGACATAAAATCGATGGGAACTGAAAGTGAAAACATCCATGATTATTGTGGCTAAGTCAGCGGCATTACGCACTGATAAACACAGTTTAGTCTATGGAAAAACAAACCACCGTGGCCGCTGTTCTGTGTCCGAGTTGTGAACATCAACAGTGCAGGAAGAAGACAAATCGAGGCTAAAAAAGTGCAGTAAGGTTGACGTTAAGCATGTGATTACGAAAGGTTCCCACCCAGGAATTAGGCTGTAACTGCAGTACGTCCTGTACGTCCAACGCTGTGTGCCTAAAAAAGGTAAAATAACATGTTTGTGAGCTCGGTTTGACTGTGGAGGAGCGGATGTGTAAGAAAAGCACCCTAACTAAACGGCTGCATGATAACCAAGATGACACGAGCTCCGCTGAGTTGTTGAGTTGAGTTGACCCTCTTGAGCTCCACGCTGCAGAGATCTTATGTTCATTTTGTCAGAGGAAGACTAAAGCATTTCAGAATATAAATCAGGCCATTTACCTAAAACACTGGCACAATGAACATGCTGCCAACAGGACACTGGACAGTCTGTTTGCAGTGAAGATACATTTTAGTGTCCCGGGCTCGGACATCTGCCCCAGAGACACAACAGACCCTTTATGTTTGGATGTTTAATCACAAGGCTCTGCTGTAAATCCATGCATGCTTAAACATGCGTGCTCAGACACACACACACACAGACACACACACCTTCCTTTAATCAGCTGCCTCACATCCTGGGAGTGCCCGACGCTGGGACGTAGCACCGTTTTCAAACTTTATGGAAACCACCCACAGACCGAACTCTGTTATTTCAGCATTCCTGTGGTCACATTTCCCATTATGAGTAAAATAAGCGTGGCCCTGAAACACAGATCGTCACAACACACAGTGAGCCGAGAGGAGGTGAGGGGAACCAGCGTGCATCAGTAAACTCCTGAATGTGGATAAAATGCTCCTCTCTGCCGCCTACAGGAACTCCCTGACCTTTCCAAAAGACAATTTATGATGTTTTAAAATGTTATTTATACTTTAAAGTGCTCACATTACCTGATAAATTCTAAAGATGACATTTATATGGGTGCGTTTTCAAAGAGGGAACATAAAAACATCACGCGAACTGAATAATTAAGTGATGGTATAAGACAGACGTGCAACATTAAACAGACGTACAGAGACAAGCTTATTCAAAAAAATACTGAAGGAAATGTAAGTGGAGACTTCCCTAAACACCTGACTTTGAAAAAAGATGAGAAGGAAGGAGCACCACCAACTCCACTCCCGACCAGCGAACTTTAAACAGCAGATAACACAAAGAGTTGATGAATCAAACTGGAATGAACGCCTGCAGGGCAAAAACCTGACTCAGCTTTTTTTTCCTCTCACAGCAAAAAAAAAAAAAAGGCAAAACTTGAAACACAAGAGCAGACTCGCCGCTCACAAACCTGCTGTCCATGTGTCACTCAACGCTAAACGAGTGTGAAGACCCGGTCCGATCTCTTCCAGGCCACCATCCTGGGAAGTCTCCTTGGTGTTAGTCATGTAAACACGAGGGTTGTCTATCGAGCAGACACGGCGACTTTGTCTACGTTGGCTTTACTAAACAAAGGCTGTGGAGGAGATTGTTTTAGGGCTGCGACAAATCATTATTTTCTTGATTAATCCATTAATNNNGCCAGAAAACAGTAAAAATGATCTCTGATTACGTCTCATTGCTTGTGTTTAAAGCCCAAACGTATCCAGTAAACTCTCACGTGACACTGAACAGCAGGAAATCCTCACATTTAAGCAGCATTTTTATCTTGAAAATGAGATTAATCACCATTTAAAAGTCATTTCAAGTAGTCGCAGATTCATTTTCTGTCCGTCCACTAATCGTTTGAGCTCAGTATGTTTTAATTTGTTGTTGAATTAAAAGAGTATAAATATATTTCATACGTGAAAGCTTGCTGTCAACGGAGACGTCTCAAAAATCCCAACGAGCCAGCATCCCTCACAAAACAAAGTCCCACTGTCTGCCCTCCTATAAGCACCACTTACACCAACCATAAGACACACAGAGAGGGCTATTGTTCGTCGTACTGGGGTATTTTGACTGAGAGGCATGAGAAGACAAAGACGGAAAGAAAAAAAAAAACTGCAACGCTACAGTACACATGGCATTTGCAATAACACCTGCACGCATTTTCTTTTCAGGCACGAAGAGCCTCGGAAACTAAAAACGGAAAAGAAAGAAAAAATGTGAAAAGCAGTCTTGCCCTTTGGTGAAAGCAGCCATATAATTCATGGAGACATGCAAAGAATAATGAATACAGCGGGGCGAGTGGAGCGCTGTAATGGCCTTTCAAATCCTTCAGCTCTGGTCCCTTCAGGCAGCGAGAACCATCACAGTGTGCCCCGAGACACTGAAGGATTGATCTGTTAATTAGTACACCGGTATGGTATTGAAAGATTGCTACAGATATATTGGTTTCCTGGAGATATGTGTGTATTACAGTCTTGTTTAGTATTATAAAAATATGAATGCCCATCATGTATTGTATTCGAGGAGAACTACCATCTTCACGTTGTGAATTGTTTCTGTATTACAATCCACTTATCATTAATTTATAGTTAATTCTTTTTCGAACCAATAGCTTTTTAGTACCGTATGAATTTTTGACTTGTGACTTCGCTCTTTATATAACAGACCTCCTACACTTAAAAGGGAAGGGATGAACAGAACATTCAAGCAGTTGTTTTCTTATGTCTCTCCGCGTATTGTTGTATTTGACTTTTTGTCCGTATCCAAATACTAATGTGAGTATGACTTATTAACATATTGACACCCTATAACCTGTCTTGTCACCCTGAATCCTAGATCTTTCAAGTTTAACAAACACATATTCAGTGCTGAATGTAATGAACCATTGGGGATTAGTTACATTCACTCGAATGTTGGTTTGCTGTTTTCGTCTTTGTTAGTATAATAAAGTCTCTAACAATCCAAAGCGCGTGCATATTTGTTATTTGATCTGGTTCTATTTATTAAATAATTAATGGTCTTTTTAATTACCCATACTGTCCAGTCTTAGTAGTATAGGTTCACAGCACTAAAATACTTGTTTATTCCACTCTGTATAGTGATAATAAAGATAACCTGGTTACTTTGTTAGTATATTTCACCAAGCAGCAATAATGTGTGTAATATTGTCTTTCTGGCATGAATATTTTTATGAGGCGTCATGTTTTTTTTTCATTTTAGATAAGTATTAATCCTACCAAGTAGTTATGGGGTTTTATACTCTACTGTATTGACATCCTTTGTGCTTGGATAGTAAGCCTTACTCTCTACCAATGTGTGTTTTCCTTGTAGTTATTTATGGTCTTTGTTTAGTTTACTCACCAAAGGGTGTGTATACCTGGTATTATTTGTTCGTTTTTAGTTTATATCTCACCTAATGTTTTTTTTTCTGTTATTTTATTTGTCTGTTTTTAGTTATCACCTAATTGTGTTTTTTTCTGTTATTATTTTCGGGTAGTTTATCTCACGTCAATCGTTGTGGTTTTTTTTCTGTATTAATTGTGTCTTGTTATTGTTATCTCACGTGTATCATGCAACTATTGTCTAAGATTTTTTATGATTGTTTATAATGTGCCTTTAAATTACATTTACTTACTTACAACCCATCCACGCTGGACACTATAGAGAGCTGAAGTATTCCTGGGATAGAAAAGATAATTCCTCAGTCCCACGTGACCAGTTAACTTCGCTCTCGCACACACAGGAAATAGAAAACAAAATAAAAGCTTCAGGGCCACTTGTGTCTGAAAGTGTTTTTAACAGCGTGTGTTGAGACGAGAGTTGCAGTGGTGGTAAAAAAAGGCCCGGGGAGAGAGGAATTTACAACCCAGGAATGAATCATAGAGCACTTCGCTTGGTCCTTTTCATCTCGGTAAGGTAAAGAGAGGACAGATCCAAGTCTCACCACAAAATAATGACACTTTCCATGTTTTGAGTCATGCAGGCCTTCACTCAGTCTTTACTATCACTCAATATTTCCATGAGAAAATCTGAATTCTGCTCTTTTTCACGCTGCGAACCTTCGGAAACAGTAAAGGGTAACAAGGGTATGCAAGTTTGTATGTTTTGATTTGATCTCGTGGCTAATGTCATCGTCTCCGAGGTTAAGGGTGCGTGAAATTAAGCCGGCTGTGTGTCCGCTGACTGACTGGGTGTAGACGCGGTCCACGCTCTGGAATAACCTACTGCTATTTCCAACCTGAGTGAGCAGGCAGAATACATCATCACTAATTTTACACCACCGAAAACAACCAGCGCCTGTATGAAAACGAAACGTGGGCGCAAAGCTGAAGGAGCCTTTTCTTTTTTCTTTAAACTGGCTGGTGCTAAAAATAAGAAGCCCACAAGGCGTCCGTGCAATGGGTGATGTAGAGTAAACACACTGGACAAAAGATGGAAATTTAGTTTTTAAAATAAAGAGCTTTCATGTGATAAAATCTTTTTTTCCTGCCCGTATGTATGCAAAAGATCATAGCAGAAACTCATTTATGTTGGACAGCAGCTCACATTCTTTGGATATTACTCACTGCTTTCACCTTAACTTGATTCAGAAGATATTCGTCTTTGACTTTTATGCAAAAAAGCAAAGCGACGCTGAAAAGTGCACGCGTGGTGAGGTTATGTAAAGCAAAACAGCGAAAAGGTTTACACACAATTGTTGCTTTATTTTCCAAAATAAATTCCTGGCATGTTTGAAATGAAGAGCCCTGAGGGGTTTCGCTGATATCTTAATGATCATTAACATTTTGAAGGAAACCCCCCTGTGTTAAATCACAAAGAGACACTTTAAATACCAGATTGCAGTTTGACACAACTTCATAAAGTACTTATAAAGTCAGTAAGGAGGTGGGAATAAAAGCTCAAAACTATTAAACTAGTGGGTTTACTCAAGCAGAGTCATCATATGTTGCTTTAGAAAGCATTTAAGAAGGGAAAACCAAACAGTTTTATAAAGAAGAGGTCGACTGGAGGGCAATACAAGAGCTGATCACATTTCATAGCTTTTTAAACTCTGCACAACCTTAGTTTACAGTCATATTCAGTAGCTTGAGTACATAAATCTCAGTCAGCATCAAACCAGATGAAGAGAAAAGGGCAAAAAGAAGGTGGCCTCAGGGCAATGGGAGTAGTTTAATTTACCACAATGTCTGGCACAGTCTGGAGCTGTGGCAAAGTCTTAAACTAAACTTTAGACACTTTCTCACGTCAAGAAAACGTATTTTTTTTAAATCACTACCCTCTCACAGTGCCTCAGATTTCCTCAACAATAAGTACTTCTTTTTTAAAAGCTAGTCTCATCCTAAGAAAAGACCCATCGTTGTCGTGAGGGGTTTGATACCTTGGTGTAAAACAATTAAAGTGCAGTAAACGTTATAAAACCGTTTGCTCTTAACGTTTCTTCTCAACCGTGCAACAAGTGAAATTTAAACACTTTGCGCTGTGATGGCCGAAAGCCCCTGACTTTACCTCAGGTGGACCCCTTATAGGAACTTTTAACGGTCAACCGTAGAAAAAAAGAACGCTTTTAAAAAAAAAAGGAAAAAAAAGTGACCGTTAACGTTATTACGTTGACAAAACGTGCACATTCATCCGCGCGAGCCACACCAGCCGTTAGCAACCCCCGTTTAAGTTAGTGGAAGTCAACGAGTACACCAACTGACACACTTACCGACACTCTGCTCGAGGAGAATTCGTACTTTCCGTTAGTTTGTTCCCTCAATTATTAAAAAAAATAAAAATAAAAAAAACTTTATCTGAACTTCTCCGTGTCCACCCAGTACTAACGCTACCCACCGACCGTCCACATTACTACGCCATGATGTCGAAGTGACAAGATTGCTGGAAAACTTTGGGACGTCATGGCTGGAAAACTCCGCCCTGCTGCTGCGTGGATTGGTTCGGGAACAGGGACGTTTTATGTGATGGGAGTCCTGGCGCATTCGGGGTCTCATTGGAAAAATGGGAGATGGGAGTTTCTCGTTGGATAAAACTGTCAGCAATAGACTTAAAGATGAGATTAAAGGAGCAAAATTTGTATTTGTTTGTTTATTTATGTAAAAGATGACAAGGAACTACTATAATTAGTCGCTTCCAGGCGCAGGACCGATTGACGGCCTTAAACGTGGTGAGGGTGAATGACGGAAGAAAAACTTTCCGTGTTTTTGCTAACACGTGAATGCAGCATATTCCTGAAAATCTGGGAGGTGCTTGTGTGTAAGTTTTAAAAAGCACAGGCGACATCAAGTGTTGGAAAAGTATGAAAGTGTTGGAAAAGTATCCTTACAAAGTTGCAATGCCACAATACAAAAACAGTACAATTTAGTAAAGGTTAAGTTTTATTCACATAAATGCACAGAAGTATTAATAACAAGATGTACAATACATACAAGTAAAACGACTCAACGTGCAGATATATTATTAGATTATTGTTATTGATGTTATTGATATTAGTTACTAAAGGTGTCAGATAAATGTAGTAGAGTAAAAAGAACAGTATAACAGAAGTAGTGTAAAAGTACAAAGTAGCATTTAAGTGGAAATACCCAATTAAGTACAAATAGCCTAACTCAAGAATGTAGTTACAGTACTTCTCTAAATGTACTTAGTTACTTTCCACCACTGGTGTGTGTTAACTATCTACTGCTGAGGACCATAATTGGACAGCAGACATGTATGCAGAGCAGATGTTGCAGGGTCCTGGGAGGTCAAGGGAAGACATCATTGCAAATCCCATTACAGTATGTTTACTATTTATTTTGCGTCTCTTGCCTGGTGCAAGTTAATCTGGTGCAGACTGGATATCTAATAATATAATATGAGCAGGACAAGTACAATTTAATTGTCTCACGATGCAGAAAATATCAAAACTCCATCAAATGATGCAGCAAAGAAAACACCAGCACAATAACTACTACTATTACACAAAGCACTGATCCAAACAACAGAAGAAAAACGATACAAAATAAAGCAACAAGGCAAAAAAAAGAAAAAGGAATTTCCTATTGCGATTTCATATTTATTAAAAATAAGTAAATTTTTTAGTGCTCAGCAGCATCTACCTTGAAGGTACTAAACAGGCCGTGATATAATTTCTCACAGTGAATGGAAGCTGTGTCGCTGCAAAGATTCCTGGAAATTTCAGTTCAAACATTGACCGGTTAATTTCCCCGCTCCCACTGAATAGGATTCCCCCACTTCAGGTCAACCATGGCTCCCCAAAATGGTGTCCCTCCTCAGGGGCCTCTCCACCTTCACAGTGCTGGGGTCACATTCCAGCATCTCCCTGATCCAATCATCATCCAGCGCTCCCCCTATGAACTCCTCCAGACTGATGACGGCTACAGACATAACAAGGACAAAAGGTTGATGGCAGACAAAGTAAGCTGCACGTGTTGATATTAGTGTGCAGGAGGTTAATGGTTTTTAATGTAAGCTACCTACTGCAAATTAAAAAAATAAGTGTTAACTATTTAATCCATGTAGGAAGAATATTAGTTGTCTTTAATGATTTCTCAAATGACACATTAGAAGAGTTGTGTTTCTTTAGGTTAGCATCACAGAATTGACATAAAGGTGCAATACACTTGATTAGTTATTATTTATTCTTTTAATTATTCAATCATTCCTCATAATTATCTATAACTTCTGCAAGCCACAATCTTAAACTCATTACTATTTAATTTCTGTCAGCACATACTGCGGTAGCACATACTGCATGATTTTTTTGGGTTATATAGGCTCTTATTATATTTCGTATTTCCATATTTATTTTTACGTTCATGTATAAACTATGACAACACATTTCTATTCTGTATATGGTGTTTGAGGATATTGTAATACAAGTATTATTTCTATTCTTTAACCATGTGTAACAACTGTAACAAACAAAAAAAACCCCGCCCCCGCCCGCCCCCCCCCCCGATCAATAAAGTATTTCTGATGATTTTAAGATTATAATTTTTTTTTTTAAGCTAATCTTGGGCGTTTTTTATTAAAGTTTACATTTTTTCCAGTTTATGTTGTCCGACATAAGAACCACAGCTTTTAAAATCCATATAACAGACTTGGCCCGGGTATTTTCAGGAATCAGAATCAGAATCAGAAATACTTTAATTAATCCGTGGGGGAAAGTGGGTACAAATATGGTTACAACCATATTTGGCTTCTTTAAAGGCAGAAACAACCTGATCACTATGAGAGTGCGATCTGCGTCCGTGCTGAAATAACACTACACCACGATTTCAAGCAGAAAGGAAAAAATCATTTCCTCACCGTTATTGTCTTTATCTAATCGCACAAATATCCTGTTGGTACATTCTTCAGCTGTAAGTGGGCTGGGTTTGGTTAAAGCAGCTGCTTCGCTCATCTTATAAACAGCCTGTGAACAAAAGGAAACACACACCAGTTGGACTTAAAAAGATGCGGCGTCTGGATAAACATCTCATAAGGAAGCTGTAGTTTGAAATGTAGCTCCTGACTTTTACACATAATCTGGGTATGCCACAACAAAGCACACACACACACACACACACACACACCTGCATGATCTCCAGCATTTCCTCCTTTGTAATGGCTCCATCTCTGTCTTTGTCATACAGCTTAAAAGACCACCGCAGCTTCTCCACAGCTGAACCTTCAATAAGCATGCTGATGGCCATGACGTACTCCCTGAAATCAACCACCCCATCCTGAGGAAAAACAACCCTCATTAACACCTTTCATTGTTTGTTGTTCACTTCTGTTGGTTGTTCTAACTTTAGGATGCATCACTTTTACAGAATGGCATTTTTATATCATCCTGTTGGTGCTTTAAGAAAAGTATCCCCTCCAGACTCTTCAGATATACAGCCTGAAGTCATCCAGAGTACTTTGCTTACCTCATTACTGTCCAGTGTGCGGAATATCTGTTCTGCGTACTCAGCCGACTCACTGCCCACTGTTCCATTGCAGAAATGTCTTTGAAACTCATGAAGAGTGATCAGCCCACTTGGACATTCATTAATAAACTTTCTATCACAAAAAACAAAACAAACAAAGAATACACCTTTTTAATAAAGAGAAAAGAACAGTTTCAATACAGAGGAAGACACAGAGGCAGTTTGGTTAAAGGGGTCACAAATGTGGCAGGAGAAATGTGACCTTTTTATTAAGAATTAAGGTCAACCCATCCCCAACCTGTGGAGATTACATGTGTTTGAAAGCTTGTCTAAACCCTGGGACGTGAGTGCTAAGATACTTAGGTCAAATGATTTTGAACCACTTCACTACGACATAGCGAAGTGCAGCTAATCAGCATGTGTGAAGTCGTGGACATAAAGTAGGACTAGAGGCATTATTCCTCAGGTTTAACCTACCGCTCGCACAGCAACATAAATGGAGAGTATAGAGATAAAATGAACAAAAATCTAAGAAAGAGAAGATAAAGGATATGCTTTGTAGAGTTGTCAGAATAATGTATTCTACATTTTAAAAAAAAAACTGATGGTAAATCTCCTGAAAGTCTGCAGTTTAAGCAGCAAGAAACTTAAATCTTCTCACAGCTCAAAAGGGGAGCTTTGAATGTTTCCACTCCCTCTCCTTCAGTTACTTAGCCAGGTGTCTTCTAGCAGCTTTTCTATAAACATGTCAAAAGCCAAATGAAAATCTTACCTGAACCATTCGTACAGGTCTGTAACATAAGACTCCCCTCTCCTACAAGGCAAGGTAGCAGCTTGACCCATTCTGTAACGGAGTAGCAATAGCTCTGCATTCACCACCGCCTTAATATACACAACAAATCCCAGCTTATGCCATGCTTTCTTAATTGCACCAACCACTACCTTATCACATTTAACAAATTACACAGAGCTAATCTCCTTGGGAGGGGAGGGGGCAAAAAAGAAGGTTGTAAGTGGGTTCAGTAGACGGCAAATGTAATTACTCAAAAAGCAGGCTGCTGGCTTCTCAATCTACCTCGAGGACAGAAAAATACAGTGTGAAATGTGGCAAGAGCATGTAGTATTCTTATAGTCTTTTCCGTTGATCCGTAGAAATGTGAAAATATGCGCAAAGTTCCTGTTGAGGGTTTAGTAAACTAATATTTATTAACATGACAACCTGGGAAGAAGGCCCAGACATGCTGATAGTAGCAGCAATAATGCAATAGACAAATACAGTAAGTGCTTCCTCTGGAGCTCAAAAAAAACATCATCATCAAAGAATGAACTTATAAAGTGGCAGGAAGTGGTACAATGGAGGTGGTAACAAGCTCCCAACAGTCCAATACAAGCCCAAAGGTTAGGATCCTTCCTCTTGTACAGTGACAGTTGACTGCGTCAGTGCACACACAAAAAACCAGCCGGTCTGAAGTTCCCCAAATCTACAGATTTCAAAACTAGCAATTAAAGATACAAACGTGGCATGCTACTAGACACAAAGCAGGGCATGAAATCAAAACATAATGTGGCCTAGCTTACAAACCTACTGTTTCAGCTCAAACGGAGACAGAAGCAACCACCAAATAAGCTTACGTGATAGCAATGTTTTCTGGGGAAATTACAGCTACAACAGAGCAATGATTGAACAAGAAGAATGGGAACAAAGTAGTAGGTAGTAAGTGCTGCAGTCAGCATGTACAACTCTGCAAACAAGCTTCCACTTCAGGCGAGATGTGCGCAGTACACCAAGTCGCATCAAGTTAATCCAATTATACATTTTAGCCATCCTTTCAGTCTGCGGAGGTGCCAGTTGGGAGGCGGTCTCCATAAGCAGCACAGGTCTATTGTGTGCCCGAGCAGACATGTCCAAAGGCACTTCGGACACAGGCAGGAGGGTCCTTTTTGAGTTTCGGCTGCTCCATTCACTGGCTCCTCGTAAATTCAAGCATTAGAGAGAAAAGATTCTTCACGACAACCTTTTTCTATCCTTAGAACGAGAGCTCTTATTGGAGAATCCTTAACAGTCTTCATGAGAGGACAGTAAATCGTGGCCCAAGATAACAATATGAACAATGGCACGGCATAACAGCTAAAGTTCCATATATTGTACATTTGGGCAGCGACACAATCGTCGATGTTTTGACTGATTGGTTCAGGTACTAATGACTGAGGGTAAGATACAGATACACAGTCCAAACACTTTTGACAAAACGTATTCATACAAATTAAGTTAACATATACTGACTTTCACTCTTTTCATTTCATTCCCTATGAGACTCCAGCAATGTACATAACTCAAAATTATTCAGGTAAAAGATTTGATAAATGTAACACAACAGTGAACAATAACAACAAACTCAGTGTCCCAATATAGCTGGATTTCAGAACGTTTTCAAATTTTCATAATATAAAAAAGGGCACGTGATGAATCTTTTTTTTTTTTAAATAAGTCAATACAATAATTCTCTTAAACTGAACACGTGTGTAAAAACATAACATTCAGTATTATTTGGAATCTGCAAAAGCTTAAACTGCCAGTCTTTTTAAAAATCACTGCATGACAATAATCTGACATACTTTGGTAATCCTAAATTTCACTTTATATTGACCCACAATGCCATCTGGCAGTGGATCACTAACGTCACCATAGCTATCAATGCTGTTAGTAAAACCCAAGATATGCGCTTGTAAGCATTGAGGGGAAACAAAACTCTACATGAGGTAAATCACAAAGGGATCCATACAACTCAGTGACTCATTCAAGATCTCACCCAAATGTCATAATGCAAAGTCGGCCTTATGTCTCATACCTTGTGGGGTTTCTTGAGTAATACATGATATGGAAGTCAGAATTTCAATGTTGAGAGAAAGAAACATACATTCAAATTTAGAATTTATGGAATAATAGCTCTGCATAGCATAATCCCTTAATAAAAGTATGCATGACAATGTATTGTGC